CTCTGTCTACTTTTAAGATTAGACTGAAGACTTTCCTTTTTGATAAATCCCATAGTTAGACTTGGGTTTGCTGAATTGTTCTTCATTTTAGACTTAGACTGCTGGAGCACAAACTGAGCACATTTCCTCACTCTGCTGTTGTCTTTAGTCTCTCTTCTCTACATGTTTATTGTAGTTATTTCTATCTATAACATGTTTTTTTCTTTATCTCTTCTCCAGAAGAAGGTGCACCGGACCAGTTCTTTTACATTTGTCTGTGTCTCTTTCCTGTCCCCCAAGCAGCCGGTCGAGGCAGATGGTCTCCTGTCCTGAGCCTGGTTCTGCTGGAGGTTTCTTCCTGATTAGCAGGGAGTTTTTCCTCTCCACTGTTTGCTCAGGATGGGAGACTGTGATGAAGTGATTCAACACAATCTGCTGCTTTCTTCTTTACAGTTCTTTTTATGTTCAGTGCTCCGAGACAACATATGTTGTGACTTGGTGCTGTATAAATAAACTTGAACTTGTATGAGATAGCTGTAAAATCACACAATATGTCTTTTTTATTTCCTGGTCTTCTTCTTGACTTTCAAATGTTTTTTTGCTGCTTGTCTCTTCAGGACAGAAGGAACAGGGTCTGGGACCAGAGGAGTTTTTCTCAGCAGCTCTCTGACTTCCTGCGTCTCTCCCACCATACCCACAGCAGACACCATGTCCTCTCCCTCCCTCCCCATGCCTTCTCTCCCCCCCAGCCCTCTGGCCATGGAGTATCTGAATGATTTCGATCTCCTGAAATTTGAGGTGAAATCCGATACGCCTCCTCTTCCTCCTCCATGCTCGTATCCCAAACCGGACCTCCCCAACGACCCCTCGGGCTCGCCGTACGCCAGCAACCCCCTGCAGGACTCCAGTTTGAGCTCCAGTCCCTACAACTCGCTGCCACCTTCGCCCACTCTCAGCGACGCTCACCCGCCTCCCTCGGGCTCTTCCTCCCTCTCCTCGTCCTCCTCCTCCATCTCCTTCCCGCTCTCCATCTCCAACAGTTTCACCTCAGGCGTCAGCTCCGGCTCGCAGGGGAATGTGGAGCGCAGCCCGGCTCACGGAGGCCCCCAAGGCCCCACACCTGCCTCTTTGGAGGACCTGATCTGGCTGGCGGCGCTGCAGCAGCAGTTCGGAGGCGAGGTGACGGGCCCCGCCACTTTGCTGGGAGCTTTGGGAGGGGTGCAGGAGAGGGGGGACAGAGAGAGGGGCCCGGTCAACGGCTTCCTGGGCTGCGAAGACGCCGTGGAGGCTTTGCTGAACTCGGCTGCTGCAGCCGTCAGCTCACAGGTGAGGACTGCGATTATTTTCCGTAGTTTTACCTGAACACGTCACAAGATGCGTTTCCATTGACCATGAAAATGCGCAAATTAGAATTTCGAAAATAACTTTGCTCAATGGAAACGTGACAATTTCGAGAAAAAAATTTGTTTTTCGACAAAATGTTTTTGCGCTAGGATGAGATGGTTTTCCGGCCGTATCGAAACTGATGTTTTTCGCAAAAATTTAATGGAAACACTTTTTTCGCATCACGGGAGTCACGTGATCAAAAACCGGCTGTTTCTACTGGAGAAAAGACGACGAAGAAGATAACAGGAAGTACAAGTAATAGTGAAATCACCATAGTAGTAAAAGAAAGTATTAAACTCAACGACTACAATTTCCCAAAAACACAGCATACGTAGCCGCTCCCAAGTAG